CAAAAAAATAGACCAACACGTTTACAGTGTGATTGTGACTTCCATTTCTTTGCACTTGAATTAAAACTGGCTTTTAGAGGATTATTTTGTTCAATTTGGTAGAGATGCTATTAGTAAGAAAATGATAAATAATGTCACACAGTACCATGTAAATAAAGGAAAATATACAGGCCAGTCAAACAAACCAACCCAACCCAACCGACCTGATGCTGTAGAGGCTTCAGAAGTCAAATTTCTGATACTGAGAGAAAACATAAGAGATACTATGACAAAACTACTGAAACTGAGCAATAAATTGCTTGTGCTAACTAGCCTTTGTGGGTGAGAGATTTTCAGGGATCCTGTAGTTTCATTTGTATTTGTCTGCATGGCTTCTAGTTATGTTTCTTCCAGCATGAAATACTTATGCTTGGCTGCATGAAAAGATGCAGCAGAGCCTTCAGGCTGGTGAAATGCCATGTGACTTCCCACCTGTCCATAGGTTTCATCACTGTTTCCAACTGCAGCAGCAAGCTGTCAGGATGGATGACAGCATCCATCCTTGTTGGATCACCTTCTTGCAATAGAAAGTCACAATTGTAATGTGAAACAGAGAAAAGGGCTATCTTGTAAAATTGGTCATAACATGTAACAAATCAAAATATTTTTACTCTTCTCTGTACTGAGGTAATCAGAGAATGGGTGGTGAGTTCCACTTAGGGGTATTTTATATTCTTTGTCCCGGTGGATATAAAGTACTACATTCTTCCAGAGAAGCTATAGTTTAACCTTGCAATGCTGTTACATTTAACAGAAAGCACACTTAGCTAACATAAGATGAAGACATATTTACTACTCCCTCTCTCACTCTTTTGCTCCCTCCCTCCATCCATGCCCTTCTTTTTCTTGTCCTTCCCTCAACACATGCAGATAGTTTCACATGACAGACATTATTTTCTAATCACACTTTTATAGTATGCTTACCATAGCAAATGCTGCTCACGTGTAGACTTTGTTTTGTCCAGATCTCTTCCTGCATTAAAAGACTTATATAATCGTATTGAGAGAAAGCATTTAGAGATCTGTTAATCCACTGGTCTTACTGCATGACTTCTTACATAATGAAAATCTGTGAAGGGTAAATATGTTGACTAGGAGTTCCATTAGCACTTAGAAACAAGGTATTTTTGGAAAATGTACACAATACAAATGTTAAAAGAGAAGGAAAGCCCTTAACCAATCCTTTCAGACTACAGACAATACGCACGTGTTTAATTTTTAACCTGAAAGCTAGTAACATCATTTATTCAGGTTTTAAATAATTGCATTCACAAAAATATTTTTGTATTTACATGAAGAATTTTGAAACTAATTTTATTTCACATTCATAATGGTGAAGTTTGATGTTACATTATTTGCAACATAAGGAGAATGGCTTTATGGTTCTCTGTTCATTTTCTTAGTAAAATGAAAAACAGTGTAGAGGGGCTTTATGGTGATAGAGTGGAAGTCTTGGAATAAAGATGTATCACTATATTCAAATGTGGGAGCTTGAGAAGTGTGCATTTATCTAAAGAGAACTTTAATGAGAGTGCTTAGTGTGTTACTTTTATGCATGTGATTGAAATAGGGACATTTTGTTCAGAAAAGCTTACTGACAAGCTGTATTAATATTGCAGGTTTTGTTTGGTTTTAATAACTGCTGCAAGCCAACCAGTAACTTGTAAGAACATACTTTATTTTAAGTTAAATAAATAGTGACAGTAACAAATTAGAATTATTCAAAGTGTAGAAAACACCACCCATGCACAGGCAAAACCAGTAGAATTCAAGTCAGGAATATTTTAATATACAGTAAATTTAATGTGTATATCCTGTGAATAAAGACAAAAGAACTGAAGTAGAACAACACTGAAATGAAACAGTAACTATCTTCTTTTGTACCAAAAACACAGTAACATTCTCACGCACTGATCAGCATGAGTGTTTGCATTGTTATCATGCTATTTAAATATAGAGTATTTTGAAGTTTGACTTCCCATTTTTCACTGACAAAAACGGCATTTCCACTCTCCTTCCAGTTGTATTCCAGTGGTGGGAAAAAACGAAGACTGAAAATCTACAACACTGCTTTAATTCTTTATTTGAAAGAAACATCAGTACTTTTGGGCAGTGGTGGTTTCACCTTGGTTTGATATTGTGCGCTGTTGTGCCTGACCTCTGTCACATTGAGCGTACACTTGGTATCAGGTGTAGGAGAGTAGGAGATTAGCGGCAGGAACATCATCCATTTAGATAGTGCCAATCATCTGTTAGAATTCTACTTAATCTATTAATTTTAGATAGTCTAAAGATAAGATGATACAGATTTTCAGGAACAAATGATGAATAAATCTGCAATCAGCTTTGTCTTAAGATTTGAAAGAACATTATTTTTCCAAGGTCCAATCCTTTAAATACTAATTGTGTGCATATTCCTAATAAAGCAAGACTAACATAATTACAGGCTACATATGTGAATTCTTTGAGTCCTGTATTCAAAAATCCAAACTAAAAAAAAATGCAACGGACTGAAAATTTACAATTTACTGACTTGCCGAAGCTTACTTTGGAAGATGAGATTACCTGTTCTGAAAGATTCTACACAACTAACCATGAATAAACACTGTACCCAATTCAGGACACCAAGATACACAGTAATGAACACTGGGTAGGTGTTACCATTTACTCATCTGCCAGAAACCAGACTTGCATTACTTGGGTTTTCAGAACATGCGGTTAAGCGTTCCGACTTCAAAAGGAACATAGAGCTTTCAAGAAACACAGAACAGAGTCCAACTTCTTGACTACCTTCCTCTGAACTAAATAAAAGCAGAGTGCAGAGAGCGCAAATGCCCACAAATCTTCAAGGGCTAGCAGTGGCAATCCAAATACGTACATTCTTCTGCAGCTTTTGCTGTATTTGCCATAAATTTGTTTAGTCGGGATGACTGTGAAGGAGATGTTCTCATTTAAATCAACGCACAGCAATTACACCTTGTCTAGACAGACGGAAAGGGTAGCACCAATAAATACAGGCCTGACTTTGTTAGAATGCTGCCAGGGATCTCTGCAAACCTCAATTCACTACGTAGAAAACACATCCTATGAAATGAGTGAAATACGGTAGAAAGGAATGTGGAGTCGTCTTATAAAACTGTAAATTCCCATGACAATGGAGCTAGACTAGATTAATGTGCAGAACTTGCAATATCCTTCAGCATAATGATAGTCTGTAGCCTGTAATTCAGGCCACCACCTACTGTCTTTTCGTTCCTATATTATTTTCTTTGTCACCTACAAAATGACCCCATTTGTCACATGCTTTTTCTCCCCAAATCCAGTTCTTGTAAGTTTTAAAGAATAAACTGCTTGCTTTAAAAATTATGTTTAATTCTTAACTCAAAAATACTAGTCGTTTATGAGTGTTGTCCACATCATTTTATTTAACAAGCGTGAAGACTATAGTCTAGTACCTTTACAAAACACATATGGTTGTTACTCTTTGATAATGTGCCCATAATAATTGCTGCTGAGGAATAATAAATTACTAACCCGCAATATTACAGGCATTAGCTTGTGGAGTGCCTCATACACCTATGGCACTATCAAGTATGGACCACAGTTTCTTGATTGGGTGGTGTGTGTTCACAGTAACGGGAGGTATTTCCGTAAGTTACACTAGAAACGCCATCAAGCATGGATCCTTTTACAAACATTACAGAGCCTGTCTGCAAAGTTAGTGTCTGTCCCCCCAGCTTTATGTTTAAATGTTGACAATTTTATAGGGAAGCACTGGAAAATCTTATGTTGCTCTTACATTTACCTCCCAAAACTGCACTATATCAAACTGGACCAGTCTTACAGGCTCCCTGCTTCCCAAACGGTTAATCAGGCAGGAGTGAGGCAGGAAACTGAGATGCATTTTCATCTTTCTCTGGATTTCTGCAAAGAATTCAGGAACTTGCAGAAATGTGACAGTACATAAACAGGCATCAATCCCTGCCTGCCAACATGAGAAGGGATCCCTCTGCGTTATTAGGAAGGTCTGCTTTAACTCAACATCTTTTTTGCTAAAGTCTATTTTCAAAAACAACCACCTCTGCTGTGGACAGATTCATTGCTCCTATTTCCATAGTTAATTGTGAGATGCAAGCTGCTAACTTCCACAAAAAGAAAAATTGGAACCAGTTGTAAAAATCAGCGTTTCTGCAGAGGAAGACAAACTCATGCTACATGTAGATGAGAACTCTTGCTAGGATTTTTCTGAATACACAACTCTCCCTTTTTTCTCCCTGGATTTGGGAAGTGATTAGTCATTCACGTACACGATGCCAGTCCATGCACTGGGGTCTGTACAAAACAAGTCTAAATGAGCAAACACAGTTTCGTATTAAACATAGCTTGGGCTGTTTTCTCCCTCCTTCCCCCCTCTCCTCCAACCATTAGCAAATCCAAAACAGAGGTCGCTCACATGCTTTTTCAGGGTTTTCATCCTTCCCCTTTTCCTCCACCAAAACAGTATTTTGTGTGTATGATTAAATCCCCAATAGTATATTCACATTGTAACAAAACACCTGCATTAGTCTCGAAATTCATGTTACATCCAATACTGTAAACAGTGACTAGCAGCAGACACTAGAGCCTGTTGAAGAACAAAAAATACAGGCTTCTGCGAATAGCCATCTATTAATAGCAGACAAATCCCTGCTATAGCCAGCAGTGGTAATACCGTGATAGTTCACAGTTAACTGTTAGAAGTCCAGCACATGAAGACATCCTATGCTGCAGGCTAATGTGTCTCTTCAAACAAGAAGAAGAAACAAACCGTTCGCTTTATGATACTGCGAGGCAGAAGTTCTGCTTTGTTTTTCAAAGTGCTACATTTAAATTCTCAGCTCAGCCAAGTGACCCATTTTGAAATGTAAGGTGAGGTGTGAAAGAGACGGACAAGGGGTCGCTCTGGTCAGCCCCACACCATCCTAAGAGAGTTTCACCACACACACGGCCAGGACGATAGCGATAATGAGCACTGCAGAGAAAATAATCCCAGCTAGAACCTTGCTGATATCACAGAAGGATTTATTTTCCTCCACGGAGATCATGCCAATAGAAGAAGCGCCCACGCTGATAGTGGATTTTAGTTCAGCCCCCGGGTCTTGCTTAGCCTCTACTGTCCACTGGGGGACATTGACCTTCATTTCCATCTCGTACATCATCTCTCCTACCTGGTTAATCTCATTTTCGAGGTCTTTTAAATCCACCACGTCTATATTGTGCTCGGCCTCATATTTCATGTTCTGGACGCTCATTGCCCTGGCAGCTACGCCAGAGGTTCCCCCACTCATGCCTGTCTGGATCAGGTGCTTTTTGGGGACGTTCAGTGGGAACTCGTGGCCCAGCTCCAGCGCTCTCCTCATGTCGATCTCCAGGATCTCTAGGCACGTGGAGAAAATCACCCATAGCCTCTCGAACTCAGCTTTGTCTTCCTTACTCACGGTTTTGTCCTTCAGGACCGTGGTGAGCTTATTCCTGTTAGCAACTGCTAGCTCCTGGGCTTTCTGACGGGTCTTCTTGAGCTCCTCCCGCAGATTCTGGGAGTCCGAGGTGCCGCCGATGGTCAGCACCATGTGCCGGTAGCAGGCGGTCACCTTGTTGAGCGCGTCCAGCAGCGCTTTGCACTCTTCCTTCACCATGATCC